TACAGGTGCACGCTACCACACCCGGCTCATTTTTTGATTTACTGTAGAGATGAGGTTTCGTCAAGTTGCCCAGGTGGGTCTCGAACCCGCGGGCTCAGGCAATCCACTCACCTCGGCCTCCGAAAGCGCGGGATTACAGGTTGAGCCACCAAGCCCGGCACTATTAGCATTTCACATTCTGGAAGCACTTAGTAGTATCTATAAATGTGAACTTTTCAGCCTGTAATCCTGCGCTTTGGGAGGCTGAGGTGAGTGAATTGCCTGAGCCCATGGGTTCGAGACCCGCCTGAACAATTTGGCAAAACCTCATCTCTACAATAAATCAAAAAATTAGCCAGGCATGGTAGCGCATGCCTGTAGTTCCAGCTACTTGGAAGGCTGAGGTGGAAGGATCGCCGGAGCCCAGCAAGTCGAGGCTGCGGTGGCCGGGACCGTGCCACAGTACTCCAGTCTGGGTGACAGAGTGAGACTCCAACTCAAAAAAAAAAAAAAAAAGTGGACTTTTCACATATATGAGGATATTGCCCATATCCTCCCTCAGATCACTCAGAAATATTTAAAGAACAGTCCCTGAAAGGATGGGAAAGAGGGGACTAACCGTTTTGTTTCATGTTTAAATTGGTTTCTTTTTTTTTGTTTTTTTTTTTGAGTTGGAGTCTCACTCTGTCTGCCAGACTGGAGTACAGTGGCTGCTCCCACCACCGCAGCCTCGACCTGCTGGGCTCCAGCGATCCTTCCGCCTCAGCCTTCCAAGTAGCTGGAATCACAGACGCGCGCTACCACGCCCAGCTAATTTTTGATTTATGGCAGAGATGAGGTCTCACCAAGTTGCCAGGCGGGTCTCGAACCCGCGGGCTCAGGCAATCCACTCACCTCAGCCTCCCAAAGGCATGGGATTACAGGCTGAGCCACCAAGCCCGGTTTAAATTGGTTTCTTATTAGGAACAAAATGTTGTCACGTCTTCTCCCCACATCCGAAGCCAGGAAGGAGGCACGACTGTTGTACAGTACTCAAAAGTGCTTTCCTCTTAGATAACAAGAAATGGCTTTCTATTTAAAGGTCACACAAATGATATCTCAGAACGGCTACCAAGACCTGACATGTAGTCACACAGCAGTTGTCTTTGGAATCCGAAACATTTCTTCAGACTTAATGGCAACAAATATTACTAGGAGTGTATCTGCAACAAATGACATTTGTCAATTTTCATAAACAACATTCAGACCCAAAGTGAGTAATTCACAAAAGAGCTAATAATTAAGATCAGAAAGTCCAGCCCCACCAATAATCAGAGAAATATACTACAAAATAAAGGTATTATTTTATGTATGAAATTAGGAAAAAAATTTTAAGTATCTAAATGACCGGTTACAAAAACTGACATAATTTTTTAGAAAGCAATTATGGCAACTGTTTATAATGTTCAAACCGTTTGACAAATAAGTCTAATTCTAGAATTTTAGTCTATAGAGAAATTATCCAAAGTAGATAATATCTAAATAAAAAGACATTTCATTATATAATTTAAAATACTGAAAACTTGCAAAACACGTCCATATAACAGAATATCATGGAGCTATTAAATGACAACAAAGAAAGTTTAACATGGAAATATGCATGTTAAAAACAAAACGTAATATAAAATAGTGCATATTATATAATCAACTGTATAGAAAAATGCAGAAAATGAAAAGTGAACAAATTTATTAAAACTAGTTATTTCTAGGTGGTGAAATTATGGATCTTTTTCCTCCCATACTGGATGGTTATCCTCAAAATTATAATGAATATTTACCAAATTTCTAGATTGAGGAGCTATTCAAATTCAAACGGAAGAAAAATTACAAAACAAGATAGATTTGCCATGTTTTCAAATCTCTACTAACCAAAAATTTAAAAACAAAAATAAAAAAGCAAACAATAACCTGGAGTAGGTATTTATAGCATTTCAAAAATCTGACTATCAGTCTTTATTTACAGAACACATTCACGTAGATAATAATCACTGAACTAAAACTTCAAGAGATAAATCTGTATAAGATATGAACTATCATCACATGAAAGAAATAAAACTGCTGAGAAAACATGGAGGAAAAAGAATCCAAATTCTCTAAAAAGAATTGAAAAGTAAAATATAATTTTAAAAAATATTCAGTGCTTGTGTAAAAATTGGTACAATCTTTTTGGGAAGAAATTTGGCAATATGTATTGAATATATAATACCCTTTGATGTAGTGATTCCACTTCAAAGAATGTATCCTAACCAAATAAAATACATGTATTTTCAACCTTTTATTACAAGAAAAAAGGCACTAACCTTTCCTTTATTATTGTACACTTGGACCAACACACCAAAATATTAATAATTGGTAAAATCCAAAAAAATCTCTGTTGCAAAAGACTGGTTGCCTCAAAGCTTAGGACCAGGTTGCAAATCAGGCAAAACAAGATGGGTGTGTCCAGCCTGCTGCAGTCGGCCATTTTAGACCCTCTGCAGAACAAAAAGCACTGAAGACTAGGGTAGTTAAGGATAGCCACCCCACTAAGAAGCAAATCAACAATTCATTACCTTTTGTTGACTGGATATGTAACCCGTACTATGCACAGTCAAAAGCAGTAAACAGGTCTTGTATCTTAAATGGCTTAGATTAGTTACAAACAAAATTTGAAATAATTAAAAAGAAGGGTCCTTTAAATTTGCCCCCTTATTTTAGAGGCCAAAACATAATGCTTAAGAGCACAGGATTCTAGACCCATTTAGTACCTGGATAAAATCCAGTCTCGGCCAACTGGCTGTAAACAAATAAATGTCCTTCAAATTTCTCATTTGTAAGAACTGAATAGTACTGCTATTTCATAAGCCTGTCGAGTGCTAGTGAGTTAAGGCGTGTAAGTCAAAGCAAGCGGACTAGTAACCTCACACAGTAAGTGCTACAGACGTTTAACTATGATTATCATTACTACAGATAGAAAAATAGACCCAGGGAAGGAAAAGGACCGGTATGAGATCACAGCTAGGATCACTGGAAAAGATGTGTCTCATCACTTATAAATCCTGTGCCCTTTCTACTATATATATATATATATATAGTTCTAAGTGCTAAGTTACTAGTTTTAGTGACTAACAATGGATCCTTACTGGCAGCCCTCAGAGAGCCACGACAGTACAGCTGCCTAAGAAAGAAAAGAAACTCCAATCTTCCCTAGGCAAAAGTGCTAAAAGTTCTAAAAAAAAAAATGATAATAATTTAGAGTCCCGGTCACCTTCATACCACCATTACCATCAACTACTTTTCACTCTTTCCACGACAGTATGAGTCCCAGGCAACCACTGGCCCAAATTCCAGACTTAAACCAAAGTGTAACAAGCATTTGGAAACACATCCAGATCCTCATGCCTAAGTTCTCAAGGGGAGAAAATCAAGGGCTTATGGCCAACACAACAGGAGATTCTCACACAGCAACCACTTGTGTTTCGCTACTCTGAAGGGATGACTATCCAGAGCCAAGTACGGCGGCCCAAGATCGGCCCAAACCAGACAGAAAAACCTCCAAATGTGTACTGCACAAATGTGACCGGTCTCCAAGTGCTCCCTTTTACATATTTCCTAAAAACCTATGTAGAGTAGTCATTATCGCCTCCGCATTTTTAAATCCATTTATCGATAGGTCTGTGAGAGGCTAAGATTCTGTGTTAATTTCTAGTGGATTTGGCCGCAACCAAGGACAATTCCAACTCAGGCTGATCCCTTCGCCCACCTAGAAAGGTAGATCTGCTACTCTGCAGGTTCTGCTAGCCCAGGATGGCCAAGCAAAGACAACTTACCTAACCCCTCGCCATTTTGCAACCTTAACTACACGAACGCTGCGCACCTCCCCCCACTCCGTCACGCCGTCTGAAATACGCATGCGCGCCTTGCCCCCCCCCCCGCGCTGAAACCAACCGTCACGATGGTGTCCCAAATACGCATGCGCATCTTCTCAAGCGCAGTTGCCAGCTCCCGGCAATTCTGCGCTTATTTAAAGCATGCGAGTCTTTCCCCTTACGACCCTCTACCGCTCCCCTACCCCCACTCCACCCAAGCCTTGCGAGTGCGCGATTCCGCTTCCCCAAAGTCAGGTCTTCTCAATTACTGTACATTCGAGCACCGCCACTCGGCGCCGCGGCTCCCCATCTAACCTCTCAAATACCATGCGCACCGCCCTTATCCTCCCCTTCCCCCTTCAACCCCCACCCCAGGTTTGACAAAACAGTATATATACGCCTGAGGCTATCTGGATGTGTTTCTCGCCAGAGTTGTGCCCTAGTGTCCAAAGAGAACCATTAACAGCCTTCCCTAATGCGGTTAGATGCAACAAACTACGGAAGTTTAATACAAGAAAGAAGGCGTTGCAGGTAATCAGCGCTGATCCCCTAACTACTTGGAATCCGCCCCTACTCCAAGGGAGGGGCTAGAGTACCCTCGGATTCATGTAATGAGACCCGCCAACGTGAACAAAGGCAAGTAAAGCTCTCATAAACCATCGATTAACCCTAATCCTAAGGCCTCGCCCTTTAAATACACCTGCCACAAATTAGGAAGCCCTAACTATTTCAGAGGGAACATTATAGAAAATATCGATGCTCAGGTGTCTCAAATCTGGTTAAAGGAAAGGTGTCTGCATTCCTTTCACAATGGGAAGTAAATGCTGAACATCCTTTTGGAGAACTGAGGTCCATACAGGATTCCATTTTTTCTTCCCGTGAACTGGAATAATGCGCAAATTAACAATCACCCAGGGAGCCGGGCTCGGTGGCTCAGCCTGTAATCCCGCGCTTTGGGAGGCTGAGGTGAGTGGATTGCCTGAGCCCG